AGCCATAAATACATTAAAACTCTTTTAAAAGAGGCTTTTAAATGCATAGAACAGATTCAACTGAAGCCAGACTTACCCAGTTCACCACCAAGGAGAAGCCAAGAAGAGTGGTTTGAAGAGCTCTCTGCTCCAAGCACTTTTATACGGTTCCTCTGAGCACCTCCAGGGTCTGAGCCATGCGTTGGGCATGCGGTCCTTCCTCGTTACAAAACACACTTTCCTGCATTTGTCACGTCAATGGGTGGAGAACTCTTTGCATATTGTTTGCTGTTAAGCAATTATTAGTTGAATGGTATCACATCCATGTCGCAGTTTACAGAAATCTCTAATCTCAAAAGGGGGACAGTATTCACCCTTAGTCTCTTTCTGCTCATTGCAGAATTTAACTTCCTCCTTCCACCTGTGCGTCAAAGCACACAACTCGGAAACAGATCAGTAAACCAGAGGACTGATGATTTGACAAAATAGACTTTATTTTTGCAAATAATATATTGATTTTGTCATGCTTAGTGTAAAGGTTTTCATACCTTTTGCAAAGGGGCATGAAACTGAGACCTTTATATCAATCTTGGCAAGATACTATTCTGCTCCCCTTTTATCCCCTCTGTCTTTTTTCTCAAGAGGTGGAAAATTCATGTTACTCCAAAAAGTACCACTTCCGACAACGCCTTTGTTCTGAAACATCGCTTTGGGTGCTCTCAGGCAGTGGATCCTGGTCTAGCTATCTGTATGAATTTGTGATAAATTTACAACTCTAAAATTGTACCCAGCTCCTCATCCAATGTAAGAGACCACAGATCAAAGTGAGTGGTCAAATGCTGGGGTCCTCCTGCACCTAGGTTTAAATTTTGTGATCTTAAAGGATTTATTTGTCAAAAATATTGCTTACAGCATTTAGTAACTGGAGAGCTGAATTATGCCCTTGTTGTCCTGTGTGGGTTGGGATGAAGACAACCTGCGCTCTGCACTCACTGCAGGAAGCTCTCACCAGTGGGGATAGTAATCCTTCCTTTCACCGTACTTAAAACTAGTTGGTTTATTGGTTCCTGACAGCAGCGACTGTCTCAGCTCTCTGTTTTCATGGTATCTGGGCGCCAACCTCATTTAGAGAAGTTAAGAGATAATAGAATTATAATTACAAACAATAACATTAACAAGTACAAAGCATGCCTGAAACCTCCTCCCAGAGGCTCACTTAATTGCCAAGAGATGTTTGGTAAATTGTTTGGCCTCTGTCTTAATCATCTCTTCTAGAAATCATCGGTAGTATTTCCCATTTCGTGTGGGTGTTACACAGGCTTGCACAGAGCAGTGTTCTACCTACTGGGGAAAATGCTTAATATAGCATGAAACTGCAAAAGGGAAAGGTTAACTTGGAGGCGGAATAAATCAGACAAAAATTTGGCTGAGGTATGTGCCCAAAGTACGCAGAGATCCATGAGATCAGTTTAAATGAAATAATTTTCATGAGCAAAACCCCCAGGATCTGCTAGACCTGGCAGGCAGTAGCAGGGAGTCTTCACACTGAACTCTCCAAGTTTTGCAACACGTTCTCCTTGGTCCTGCAAAATACCTTTGGAATTAAACCCTTAAAAAGCCAGAGGGATTATAGTCAAGGTTGCCAAAACAATGGTAATGGTCATCTGATTTAGAGAGTAATCTCAAAGAGATGGTGGAAGACTAAGGGGTGGTGAAGGATGTTTATAATCTGGACATCTACAGTTTTTTTCTTTTTGTGTTTACAAGGTGGATACTACCCTGTGGAAATGACTGTGAAGAGTGACCATCTGCAGGTCTTTAAGACACACACTGTATAACACATGCCCATGCTGCCACGACACTTCAAGGTCTGAGGAACGTGTAGGGCCAAGTTCCTGCTGCAAGAGTGACTGTGGTAGAGTGACAGAGCAGTGAGGAATGGGAAATAATAAATCTGCATTTTCTGGTTTCAGCACACGCCTTGTGGGCTCAGCATCTTTAGAAGGGCAGGTCTACACCTGGCAGAGGTCTCCTGAGCAAGGAATGACCAGTCTCCCTTCTAAAAGGGAAGCAGTCACCAGATGGTGTCTGATCCGTGCCCATTACTTCTCCTCCAAGCCAGGCACTTCTGAATCATTATCTTCTTTTCTTGGTCTTCACCCAGTAGTCTTCTTCCTCCTCAGACTCTTGAAATGCTCTCAAGTCTCTCTTAGCTCCTTCCCTGGAAATCACGTTTTCTCTGTGATCACCCCAGTTTAGTTGCTGCCCATTTTAATTCTCACATCCTTATTTCTTAATCTTAGTCTTTTCTTTTTATGTCTCAAGAGAACACAAAATCCTTGTTTTTTTCCACTGCTTTATACACAACTACTCATTTGTACAACACCCAAGCCAATTGGGTAATTTCTATTGTTGATTTCTGGATGGGATTATTAAAAGACTGAGGTTAAATAATGCACTCAGCCCCACTTGTTGATTCAGTGGGAGTGTTGAGAGAAGCATTGCACGCCACATCTTCATTCTTTTATCTCCTGTACTATGACACTGCATCAAAGTCCATTGTTTGGAGAACTATACAAAAATAGGAGATTGTCCAGCTCCAAGACATAGTGGGAAGAAAAATCACTGCCTATACAACCCAGAAGAGAAGCTCATTTATAGGAAATTAAGGTTGTGCAATCAGTAGTCTCAAACATAACTGTTTCAGATTTATTTTGTTCCTTCTACCTCCTGTCCCGTGGGTGATGTTTGTCCACCTCCTGAAAGTCCTGGAGTACGTGAGTCTAAACACACCCAGGGCAACATCCTGGGGTGTATGTGTCATTGTGATGGGTAGCAAAACACAGCCAAGTGGGACACACGCCTGTATCTTTTGGACATCAGCCATGGAATGAATCCCACTGGGAAGCTCTCTGAGCTTGGTCTTGCTGGCACCTTGCCCTGTTCAAAGCCAGCTGCTGGGTGGTTGCAGGCGTGTCTTCCCCCGGTTGGAGACTACTCGGTTAGGAATGCAGCTCTCACTTCAAAAGACAGCATTTTCACAACACCCCTGTGGTCTATTGGGTGGTTGTTACAGGAAAGACGGTTGAGACATCATGGCAAAGTGTTTGTCTTCATATCAGTTTCTGATTCAGAGGGAGAGCTGGGAAGGAAAATACAGGTGTGCCTATTCCTGCCATCGTTATTGTTTGAATTTGGGAGGGTTTTCAGCAGGTCCTCCCCTCCCAGGCCAGAGGAAAGGTAAAAAAATCCATTTTCATCCAGAAGAAATAAAATAAACATGAAAGGAAAAACACAGGGTCATACAATTTTAGAGAAGGGTCACATCCAAAAGTAGAAGCTACTGATGCAGCCAAACATTATATGCACTGGGTCTCCTTCATGGCAGATGTTCTGTCACCATTAAATCCGCAAGGATCACGTGAGAGGTCAAGAAATTCTTTCAGGAGGAAGCCAGAAGTAAGAAAAGAGCAAAGCAGACCGTTCAAAATCCCAGCAGTCTGTGCCTCCATCTGCTCCCTGCTGTGTGCTAATTCTATTTTTGTTTTATTCTTAGCTCTTTATTTTTCTACCCTACATTTCCCTCAAATATTTTGATGAAATCAGTGACAGAGATTAACACATGCCTATGCCCACCCAACACCCCTGAATTGCTTCTGATTCTTCTGACCAGAGTATGGATTTTAAGTAAAGGTTAATCAAAAAATCTGATGGTTTTATCTTAACTGAACTACCTCTCGTTACTGCAGAAGGGTAAAGCCTGGTTACTGTTTCCGAGAGGCTGAAATCTGGTTGAATCGGAACGTGATTAAACCATTTAGAGAGGGATGATGTAGTAAGGTGTAAGGGGAAGCTGGGAATTGCCTAATAACTGCTAAGAGTGAGCAAAATGATTATATGCTGTGAGGTGCTATGTGTAACCGCTTCTGTTCTGAATCTAATCAAACCTCATGTGCAAAGGGTGTCTCAGATCCTCCAGGCTATCCGAGAAGCAATATAAAAGCATGGGCTGCTCACATCTCTCCCAACAGCTTCTCCTGACTTCTTCTCTGGGACTTAAGTAAGTTTTTAATTCTTTGTATGTTTTTGATGTGCTCTTTTAATGATAATTCTAACTGAATCCTACGTAAACGTCTGCCATGGCATTGACAGGTCCAACCTCTCCGTAAAAGCAGCTCATTGAGCTTAGCAGTCCTTGCTAAGTGCTTCAAGGATTTGTGACTTTTAGTTCCTAAAGCTAGAATAAAAGTCAGCTGCAGCCTTATTTTGGCTTTGGTAGAAGGTGAAGGTCAGTTTTGGAGCTCTGTGTAATAGGTGGTTCTAAATTTCTATCGCTGTAATGCTTATTATTTTTTAATTTGGAATTACCTCATCACTTCACTAGCTTGACAAAAGGATCCATTTCTAACACAACTTAGGTCATGCCTTTGAGTATTCCTGTGTTGAACTGGTGTAGGAATGTCTACTTCTCTTCCTATAGAACCAACAATTTTATCAAAGGTTTGCAGGTTGGTAGTCCTAAACTACTGACTGCTGGAAATGGATAGATACAACCAGAGGAACAACCGTTCCAGGCATGGCTGTACATCCTGTCCTACAGGTTAACTACTGAGAAGAGGGAGCTAGGTGAGATGACCATTAGTCTCATGAAGTACGGACATGTTTGTGCTGCTTTACAAGAGAACACGACTGAAGCACTGCTTACGATGTAGTTGTTTGGGATATAGATAGATACACATGCCAAAAATGTAGCTGGCTTGATGTACGCAGGAAGGTTAGGAAGAGTTGGGAGGTTGTCAAGGACAGAAGATAAATGTAACTCAAGCATGGGGACCGAAGGGTGGAATAGAGAGAAGGAACTATGAAGCCACATCAGCTCTGTTCAGGAAGCTGCTCAAGGGGGAATCTTCCTCATCAAACATGCGTGAGAGCCTCAACATAGGTCTCTGACCTACCGCTGAATTGTTTTACACGTAGCCCTCTATCTTTCTGTGTTTCAGATCCACTTCCACTGCCCAACCATGTCCTCCTACAGACAGCTCTGCAGCTACCAGTGCTACACACCCTGCGAGGTGGCCTGCCCTCAGCCCGTCGCCGATGCCTGGAACGAGCCGTGTGTCACGTCGTGTGGTGACTCCAGAGCAGTGGTCTACCCACCCCCTGTTGTCATCACTTTTCCTGGGCCGATTCTCAGCTCCTGCCCTCAGGAAAGTGTAGTGGGGTCCTCAGCACCGGTGGCCATTGGGAGCTCACTTGGCTATGGGGGATCTTATGGTTACAGGGGCTCTTTTGCTTACGGGGCATCACAGGGAAGCAAGTTCTCATACCCTTACTGCTCTCAGAGGTCCAGCAGTTACCGCTCTAGAAGGTGTGAGCCCTGCAAAACCCAGCAGGAGTATACTTACTCCAAGAGCAGTGAGGATACTGAATGCAAGGTCCAAACTCAAGAGTAAAATGGGTTTTTGAGAAGATGACATGAAAAGGCTGACCCTTGCTAACACTTTACGTTGTGTTTGTACTCATACCTGCTTATGTACTTCTTAATTATGTGTTCTTCCATTCTTCGCATGGTCCAAATTTTCAAATGCATTAATACTCCTTCTACCTTCAACCTAATAATGTTATTCGAGAAGCATAATGAAAATGTTTGTATACTGTGATTTCTCCCACATGACACTGCCTGATGCCAATCAAGTTTATCTTAATGGATGAAAACTGAACTGTGTCATCAAACTTATATCTGCAAAAGAAAAAAAAAAAGAACACTGCTTGAAATGAATCTTCCTGAAAGAAGAAACCTCATTTGCAAAAACCTCAAATGCCTCATTTTCTGTATGATCATGTTTTGCTTCTGTAAACTTTCCTCCTCTATCACCCATTAAAAATCACGCTGCATCATAAATTTAGTGTTCTGGTTTTGCTTTCTATCTGTTTTTATGAAATAACAGGGTTAAGAGAACCTCCTGTGCAGAGCATTGGTGTGTCCATACTAGTTAAGCCCTGTAGTGGGCTTAGGGGAGTGAAGACCCTAACCACTCAAACACACCACACTAGTTCTCCGCTCAGCAGAGAGTTTTCCCATGTTGTGTGCCTGCTTTAGACCTTGTACTGCACCAGTTTGCTAGAAAGTTACCGGAGACAGAAAACAATACAGGGAATGGAAGGAAGGCTTACTTTTATTTTCATGTCCAGACACATACAAGAAGAGAGCCCAAGACACTTACTGGACAGTAGCAGCTAGCTGAGCGTGCCTGCCGCAGCATACAGCACAGGCAAATTCATCTGTCCACAGAACAGCATAGCTGGCTGTATCTTTAATACACATTAAATCCTCTACATTTACTTATACTTTAAACACTATACAACAGTCCAGATCTGGAATTCCAGTGAGCAGAAAGACCAGGTGCTGTGCAATACTCTGCTAAACAGGGTTAATGTCATCATGAGCAACAGTCAAGGGGCTACTTACTAGTTTTTTAAGGCTTCCAGCTGGTCCCTGAGGACTGCTGGGTCTCTGCTGCCTATTTATTGAGAACTCTCTGTATCTGCTTCCCTTTCATGCAGTCTTCTTCTGGTCATCTAAGTTCCTGTCTGATTCTTCAGCCTCTAATTTCTGCTTCCCTGTTTCTTAGGATTCTGCCAGGAAGCTCCTTTACTCTGCACAGGGATAAGAAGTTAAGGTAACAAAAGGTATGTGCTCTCGGGTGTTTATGATCCCAGCTGAGGCAGTTTCATGATTTTAGAAAGCCAGGTATGAAAGCACAGAGCAAGGAAGGGGGTTCAAGTTTCCTATATCTCAAACTGGAGTTTCATCACTAGGTAATTTTCTGTCTCTCAATGTTTCTGGGAAGTTCCTCTACTGCTGTGCACTGTCTAATATTTTCTCTTTACTTCTTTGTGTTGTACAGAATTATAGCATAATCTAATATTTCTTTTCTATTTCTCTATGGTATGTGGAGTTATATAAGGCAGGGGAAGTAGGGGTGAGCTATTAAAATACTTTTGGAGTGGCTGTTTAGTACTTGACACTGGCGTTGAAAATTTTATCTAAGGGTTGGGCAGTTGTCTCACACCTGATTCCTTGTAAAGATTAAACTGGGCACACCAGCAAGCTCTGCATGTTGCAAGTAGGGTTTCCTGATGAATGAATCTCTAGGTACTGTATAAACACTGCCTGTGAGAGCATAACGCTCACCTGTAGGTCATATCTAAGATAAGGGGATAGTTTGGCTCAGTTGGTTTGCAGAGGTTGTATTACCCCAAAACAGAGAAGAAAGCAAACAGATGGATGCAATTGTAAGTGTTTATTCGGAGCAAAAAGTGTACATTTTAAGCATAGTAAAGGAAAAATGCAAGATGGACTTCAGTGTTCTAAAAAAGGACCAATTTAGTAATCTGCATCAACCCGATTTATTTTCAGCACATTGGTCTTCCTCCTTCTTTCAAGTTTTGAATGGATTGGACAAATCATACTGTGCGGTGACATCTATGGATCTTTCTTATTAGACACATACATAATCATTAATTTGGTTTCTCAGAATGGAAAAGACACATTTTGAGAATACTGATATTAAAAGCAAACAGAGCATCAGAAAGGCAAGCAGAAGATCATTCCCTCCCCAGTGCTTCAGAGAGCTGTGCTCCTCAGCTCAGCTGCACATCTAGGTTTTGCCGTCAGTTCTTCTGCCGTTTCTCCTGCCGTCCACACCTTCTGCCATGCTTAGCA